CTCTCCATGTGAAGTGAGGCAGAACATGAAGAAATAAAGCCTTATATGAGAAGATCCTCAGAGATCAGTCAAATTTGTCTTTTTCCTAAAATGACTTGAATTCCAGGAATGTCACAGGCAAATTTGAATGTTTGACGAAGTGCTGAAATAGCCCTCTTCATCTTTGCAATTCCTTGTATTAATTGACTGTCCTTAAGCTGCCTTGCTTTTTTATCTGGTGCTTCAGGAGGTGTATGTTGTTGGGAGGCAGGGGTGGGCTTTAAATCACTTCAGATATGTTACTGGTATAAATTGCTTTCTAGGGACACTTCCTCTCCAGGAGCAAAAGGAATCCTGCCAGATTAACCTTCCTTTTCTAAGGCAGGCCTTCAGGAATGCTGCTTCCCCTCCTCGCCCCATTGCACTGGGTCAGTGGAATGGGTGTGTTTCTGTTCTGCCTGAATTATATTGCAGAATATCAGGCTGTATCTCTGTCTTGTATCTGTTGTTAGGACGATAAAGCTAGGTCTGGGAGCTTTGGGCTCTTACTTCTAATTCTGCAGCAACTTTTCAGATTCTGCAATAACTTCTCACACAATGTGATGATGCAGTCAATGTGCTCAAACATAGCTAAATTAATATTTTTTTGTGATTTTTTTTAAAGAGAGATTTCCTTTATGATAGCTTTGGAAAAAAACCTGATGGATTGGAATGCTACATAATCAAAATAACCTGTCTGTGTTGATGTTCTGCCTTTGTCAGTTGCCCGTTCCTTTTCCCTAAACTCCTTTGCTGTTTGACCAGATATGGTATTTGGCAATGTTGCATAGAATATTGAAGTTGTTGAGTCTTTATCCTCTGCTTTAAAAATGGTAAGACGTGAACTAAGGCCCTCACCTTGGATTGAGCTCTATCTGAATGCAGGAGTATGTTAGATTTTTTTTTTCAGGATTTAAACCTAAGAGGAAAACAAATTTCTATTTCTGAGTATTCTCAGTTTGTGTATCTTTAAGCTGAGCTAGTGTTTACTGATTAGATCAATTAAAAAAAAACAAAGCTTTTTTACAGTGTAGTTTAGTCATCCTCCTTAACAGATGGTTCAAGCTTGAAAATTTTAGCTGTATAAGCTAGTAGCAATAGACAATTTGATTTTTGCCACTTAGTGCCCAAATACAGGTTACTTTTTAATAAACTGGTGTCCTTCAGTTTTACAGTGTTCAGTTGCTGCTGGTGCAATTTGAAGTTCAAACTGACATTGATAAATAGATTCATCTGGCAAATTTGGATTAAAAAATAGTAATGAATGGGAGGAGTTTTATATACAACTTTCTTGTCAAAGAAGAATGGGAAATAAACAGTCCTACAGTTAAACAACACTACCAAATATTCTTAGTTATTCTGGTTATCTATATGAGACTGTGGCTTTCATATGAAGTATCTTCCTTCTCAGTGTTAGAAAAATGAATGCCCATTCTTATCTGTATTGCTGGTCCTGATAATTATCTGCAAAAACAGAAAGCCAGACTTATGGAAACTGCAGACTTTATGTAGCACAGGCAGTTTTTAAATGTATATGAATTTTAGAAAGGTTAGTTCATCCAGCAAAACTTTTTTAATAGTTTCTTTATATATATTTTTAATATATACATATATATTTAATATCGCGCTATCTATATGATTATTCAGAATAGTCCTCAGTGTTAGGTTACATAGCTAACTGTCGGAAGTGACGTAGGTATAGCTGAGTCTCTGGGAGAGAGGGGGGTAGACCACATGGTCCTTGGTGCGGTACAAATCATTGTTAAACAGTGCTGTGACACCTACATTATAGACAGTGTTGTGATTCAAGCATTTGATAAAGGAAAGACTTTCTTTGCCCCAAAGTTGACAGTAGTAAGAGAGATGTCTGTCTTTGCTGGCTTTCTGCCTATGCAAGGATATGCAGTAATTCTGCACTGACTTTTACCTGTGTGCACAGTTTTTTCACAGCTTGATCCATTTCATATGATGAACTTTTGTACACCAGAGCTTTGCAGACAGCCAGTTGTCCAGCTAGTACTGTCTCCTCAGTAGTCCTTCCTAAATGTCAGTAGTGGCTTACAAGATACCTGTTAGGAAGATACTTTTGTGTATTTGCTTTGATGCAGAATTCAGCCCGACTTGGAAGAAAAGAGCAAGACAGCTTCTCTCTAGGTATGTGTTGCTATAGACAGTCAGGTGGAGGAATATCATTAAAAACATGATAATTTTTTTCTGGCTGGCAGACTTTAATGCAGAAAATTATAAGCTGTATACATCTTAAATATTTAATCGCTGCTGTTCTAATTAGATGTGTTTTATTTCAGCATCATAACTGATGATGATGAGGATGAAGAAATATACAGTACTGAAGATTGTGAGTTTGCAGCCAAGAAAAGGAAAAAAGACCATTTTAGGAGTAACACAGATTCACAATGTAAGGCTGTTTTTTTTCCATTTATTTTAGAAGACTTTTTTAGGTTTAGTAGACTTTTATAACAGCCATTTATTTATATTCATCTATAGAGTAGCCTCCTGAATTATGTTTATTTCTGTGGTGGCAGCAAAATCTGGTGTCAAAGTGATACGTCTTAATTGAACTGTGGCATTGATTTTTTTAATTTTTTTTTTCCCCCAAAGGTAATTCATTTAAGAATAGTAAATATCTTCTGATACTAACCAGGTTCTGTTTTGTGGGTTAGTTTTAGATGAAATTCTTCTGGATGCTTATGGAAGCTTCTGCTTACCAAAGCAGCTCGTTTATTTCTGCTTAGTTTGAATTCTATTTAGTGATACAACTCCAAAATCAGTTCATAAATAAATATATTTTGTCATAATACCTACAGCTCTTGGTAAAGACTTTATCAGTATTGAATTTTTTGAAGAAAAGCCCCTATTTTAAAAAATTAAAATATGAAAGCTGTTTTGTCAATTCCCATTCTTAAAAGATCACCTGTACTTTGGACTGCAGATATGTATGACAGCAAGTAAACTTACTGAAGCAGAGAATTTGGTAGAGTAGGTAAAAAAAAGGTAGGTTCATTAGCAACTTTCTGGCATTTCTAATGCTTTGATCTTAAAATGATCTCCTTTATTTGTATATTCCCAAAATTGTAACAGAGATGGTCTTGCAGAAAGCTGCAAGCTTCCCCAGGCTTGTCTGAGCTTAAAGGTTCAAGTGGCTCTATCTAAGGTCATGCTTTCATTTGACAATATACTAGACTTCTGAAAGCTGAAGGTCTGCCTAATTGCCTTTAGTAGTCTTGTACGACTGACTTTATATTCTGCAAGTAGTTGAACCAAGTGGATGTGGAGCAGACACCTTTTACAGAAGTAAAACAGATTTAGAGGGGTAGAGTGGTCAGGAACAAAAAGGTTGCTCATTTCGGTACTTTCCTGTGTTAAGTGCTAAGGAGCGTGTTGGATTAAAAAAGATCAGGGGTTTTGGATGAGAAATTGACTGTTGTTGGTACACTGTCGACAAAAGTTGTGCTACATCTTCCAATTTTGTACCAACTGTAAAATTATATAACTTTTTCCTTTATGTTTTTGAAGTATATAACTTCTGAAAATTTGTAGCCATCCTTCTCAGCCTTTATAAATTTCCTTCATTAAAACTGTTCTACTATCTCTCCTATCTTATGAAGCATTTTATTGAGGATGATCTGTTTTGTTCAGTTTCTTTCTAGAAGGCATTACCTAAAGTGGGAGCCTAAAAATGATTATATTTTGGTTTTTATTTTAGGTTTTTATCGTGAAAAATGGATTTATGTTCATAAAGAAAGCACCAGGGAAGTAAGTCCTTCATGCTGTGGGTTAATTCCTACAATCTTTGTGCTTCTTAATTGACAAATAGTATATTTAAAAAAAAAAAAAAAGCATTTGTGCTGTCTAGTCTTAGGGGTGATATTCAGCTGTCTCTTTCCTGGCAACATAGTACACCTGCACACAGTGAGGCAAAAGCAGCTAGCAAAGTGACTTTTATGTGGGTCACTGTGGCAGAGATACAGGAATTGCAAGGATGGACATACAGTTCTCTGCTACTTCAAGCTCATCTGTATCTGTACTGCGTGTCTTTGAACTAAAATTGAAAGTATTTGCAAAACTGGAGTAATGCCTTCAAAGATGGTTGCAGGTAGCTAACTGATATTTCAGATTTTTGGTGTAAATTTGAATATAAACAAGTAAAACTTCAGTTTTAAACTTTACGAAGGGGACCTTTGTATTCCACAAAGTCCAGATGCTTTCAGTTTGGGATAGAAACTGTGTCATGCAACAATGAAGAGAACATGAGGGTAGATTTAGGCTTGGATATAAGGAAGAAGTTTTTTGAGGAGGATGGTGAAACACTGGAACAGGTTGCCCAGTGGTGGTGGTAGAAGCCTCATCCCTGGAGACATTCAAGGTCAGGTTGGACAGGGCTCAGAGCAACCTGATCCAGCTAAAGGTGTCCCTGTTCACTGCAGGGGGGCTGGACTAGATGGCCTTTAAAAGTCCCTTCCAACACAAAATATTCTGATTCTAAACCACAAATTGCCTAAAATCACTCATTGCTGTCCTTCGTAACCTGTATGTTGGGATTATTTTTTTTCCCTTACTTGTGCAGAAGTTGGTGTACTAGTGATGTGTGATTTATTTGCTTGGGTTTCATGTCCATTCAGAGTGGACAAAATATTTTGGTGTACAAATCACTTTATTCTTGTCACTGCTGTTGTCATCTAATAATTGACCATTCACCTTTCCTGTTTTTTTAATTTATTTTTAAAATATAGGAAAAAAAATTAAAATGGGGATGTTTAGAATTAATCACTAATACTTTGCAAGTAATACCTTGTATAAATTCAAAAGCTTAGAATAAAAAGTTAAAAGTTAAGAAGAATGAAAAAGTAGGAAGGAATAAGCATACTTGAACCAAAAAATTCAGAACAACTTTTTAAGCTAATCTAAACCATAATTTAGAGAGGCTCTGGTTTTCCTTTTAGGTTGTAATCTTACTTGATTTTGAAATGTCTGTCTCAACTAGGAGACTTTTTTTCCAAACTGAATACTGAATTTTAGGGCAAAATGACAAGAGTAGGAAGGTCTTGATAAGGAAGATGTGAAAACCAAAACAAGCACAAGTATATAGCTGAAATGAAGTAGGAGAAGCTCTTCAAGTAATGTTGTTATGATAGTACGTTGGAGAGGTAGAGATGAAGTTTCATAGAAATCTGCTTCCAGCTGTTCAAGAAAATGTACCTCTCATGTTAATGCATTTAAGCATGCCCTTTTGATAACTGTTTAGCCAGAGAACAGCCACAAATATTTGAATTTCAACAAAAGTTTTTTGTTTGTATTGATTCACTGCTGTTCACCAGCCAAGTTGTGCATATTGTGAAGTGTGCAGCACACTTGGTTCTCAGGTGTATTAACTGGATGAGGAAGCAGAACAATCCTGAATTTGGTCATTAACCAATAGGGAGTAATTACCACCACTCTGCAGTGAATAGTCAACTGTCTCTGGTCCCACTGAGGTACATCCAGGGTTGCAAAAAGGAACATTAAGTTGCATGGCCATCTTTTCACCGTCACACAATTTAGTAAGGAAATCGGTCTAGGAATGAACTTCAAGTAGTTAGTTATCCCCCTGCTTCCCTGGGCTGATAAGCCACAGTAGTACACTGCTCTGCAAGTATCTCTTTCATCAGTTGTAGGGTTTTTCTAGCTTCATTATATTTGCTCCAAGGCTCCTGTGGCTTTGTGGCTCTAAATTTACTCAGCTTATGTGATCTCATGTCATTTCGGGCTGATACTACCACCTTAAGTAGTTCCACAACAGCCTCTGAAACTTCCATTTTCACTTTAAGACACCTGTGCAGAAGTACCAAAAGAAAATGCAATTCCTCTTGCTCTTGGTTCCTAAGAAAAATTGTGCCTAAACTTCTAGCATCTAGAAAATAAATTCTAGATGTTGAGACCGTTTGTTCTTCCAATTCCAGGAGCAAGTAGCTGTGTTCTTACCCTCAAATGCAAACTTAAACTCGGTCAGTTAATGCTTATGGTTGTAAGCTCAGGCTGCTGTACAAAGCAGCTCTACCTCGTGCTGAAGCAAACGGGGAGTGTGTTAGCCGTGAAAGAGTGCCAGCATTGTGGCCGTGCAATAGTGGAGGAGATTCCCAGGGTGCTCAAATACCAGTGATTACAGATTGCATGATTAGTATGAATTTATAAAGGCCTTGCTGTCGAGCAACATCGCCTACGTACCATTAGTTCCAAATAGCGTGTCTGGTTTCATTTGTTCTGCAAGAAATTAAATAAATCTTCAGTCCAGATACATTATATTTCCAGGGAGCATGGTATACATAAGCACCAGTTGCATGGCAGAGTGGTTTTCTGGATATTTTCCTCAATTTTATCGTTGTTTTTTTCCATTTAAAGTGTGTTTATTCTTCTTCTCAGAGACATGGCTATTGCACTTTGGGAGAAGCTTTTAACCGCTTAGACTTTTCAAGTGCAATTCAGGACATCAGAAGGTTCAATTACGTGGTCAAAGTAAGCTCTTTATTTTATATAGATATTTTAAAAATGCATTTGCTGTTGTGCTTATATGTACAAAAGAAATAATTTCGCACTGAATAGCTGATGATTTGTGACTGTATAAATATCCTGTCCATATGTAATTTATACTGCATGAAGCAACTTTAAACTGAGTAATTTTCATTTGGTGAAAACTCATTATATGGCTCTGTGAAAGCCTTTAGCTCAAGGAGGACGGTGATGACCAGTGTGCTGTTTATTTACAGGGAAGCGCTGGTGGTCATTTCAGTTGTTGTTCATCAGCCTGGGTAGTGAACTCTCTTGAAAGGCAAAATAATCTTATACAACCAAAAATAGTGAAGTGTAATACATCTTAAATATGCTTAAAATAGCAATTTCCAGAAGAATATTTGATTTGCAAATAATCTGCAGTTTGTTTCTTCTGCAGCTTCTTAACGGTCCTGTGATTCATTGCACATTTGTTTTTTATCTAGGACAAGACAGATATGCATTTATCTTTGTTAACATCCCTTAAAACTTGAGACCCCAGCTTTTTCAGCCTTCCCCCTTTTTTTTTGTGTTCCAGAAATGAGTTTTATTGCAAGTTGTCTCTACATAAAATTTGTAGAAACAATTATGATATACTAATATCATGATTCCTTGGAAAATCCCTTTCTAACTATGTTAGCTTCTCTGTGTCAGGTCATCTTAACTTGAGAATTAAGTGTGTCGAACCTGGGAAGTTCTGGACAATGGTGCTATCTGCCTGTTTTCCAAAACTACGTAGCTTGTACTTCAGGGAGCCACATAATGTTATGCCTTAATTTCCCAAGTTCCTAACCAGCTACCCACTTGGAAATACCTGTTCTGGGAGATGGTGATCTTTCTCTAGCCCCAAGTATTTTTTGTCTTCTAACCTGAGATAGTAAAGTGCATGTCCCAACTACTAGAGAAGCTCACAATGTAAGATACATCAGGACTAGAGTTCAGTTCAGTGGTGAGGCTGTTCACAAATAATGTAGTGGTTGGAATGCATCCAGAACTTGGAAAAGACACAAATAAAAATTAAATAAACATACCAGGAGAACACCCTTACCACTAGGCCGTGGAGTATTTGGAGAGAAAACACATTCCTACCCGTCCTTGTGAAGCTGAGACAGTGTGTTATACTTCCAGAAAAACAAGAGATGTGGGACCAAAGGAAACAAAGCAAAAGGGATTTGCTTCCAGGCTAGTGGTTAGGGTACTTGCCTGTTTTATTCCCCTTGCAGTTTTTTTGATATACGTATGCATTGTCATTTGGAACACTGCTTTTTAGTGCTGTTTTGGGAGCAGAAACAAGAACATTGATCTTTCCTAAGACTTTTCAGCCTCGACCAGTAGGAAGAAAAAAAAAAAGGCATCTAAAAAGTTTGTGTTATAAACTGTGTCAACCTTGAGTGCCTCACTTGAATGGTAAACAGGTAGAATGAATCCAGAACTAGTTTTACATGTTTTTTAGATGCTGCAGTGCCTAAGCTGGGTTGCTCAAAATGCTTGATCAGAACAAAGTACAAATTCTAACATAGGCACATTGACCAGTTTCTCTGTTTCCTGAAGAATATTAAATGGCTGGTTTAGTTATCTAGGGTTAAGATTGTTGAAAAAGGAGCGATACTTTTAAAATTTAGGAATTTGGCTTTGTGATCCAACTGTTACTAGAGTAGTGGTAGACCCCAAGTAGTTAGGGTGGATTTAGGATAGCAGGCAGGCTTCCCAAATTCTTTTTTTCTAACGTTTTAGCGTTTATTTGAAATTCTTAAATTTCTAGAATTGTTTTACAATTTACAAAAATGTAATTGTATCTTTGCATCAGTTCTCTGAGGTGATGGAGGCAAACTGACTTTTATCAACAGGGACAGAACCTGTACCTCCAAGACCTTAAAAGCTACTGAGCTGCTAATAAACACGATCGATGTGAATGACAGCTGCTGCTCAGAACTTGCTGTAGCTGTAGAACTTGTTGACTTGAGAAACATTTGTGGTGATGCATCTAATAAATTAAAACATCTGTGTGGATGTCAGTATTATGTGAAGTTGCAAAAGATTTTTTAAAAAGGATCTTTAATCTGCTTTATCAGGTTTTAAACCAGTCTGCAATTATGAGATCTAACTTAAGAAGCAGGTCATCCCGTGCCTATCTGCGTTACACAAGTTCTCATTTACTTCCCTGGAGTTTCTACTGGTGAAAGATGTTTGTGTAGATCTCACTTAATGCAATGCAGCAGTTCCTATCTTTTCTTCTCCAAGAATTATTCCTAGTTATACATGAATGCAATGATGATTACTTTTATCTGTGTTCTTCTGCTCGTTGCGTTTAAGGTAGCAAGATATAAATCAAGACGACTTTTTTTTTTAAATACCAAGTGCTACTGGATAGTTCTTCTTTGATCCCAGACCACCAAAATGATCCATTTTGACTCTCCAACTAACCAAAACCCTTCCAATTGTTATTAAAAATTAATACAGATGTCTGCCCAGGATCCTTTTAAGGTGGGCAGTGGGGGGAGGAGGTAGGATCAGCTGTTTTCATGTACTTAATTTGTGCTGTAGCGTAAGGATCACTTCTTAGCTGTTAAATGTCTGATACATTGAGTTTGATAATGAATAATCTTTCTTCAAATGTTTCTATTTGAATAAACAGCTGATCCATTCAAAGTTACAGCCTCTAGTAGACAACATAAGCCATGGCTATGCACAGATCAGTAAGACTGAACTCATGTCAGATCCTTGTACTCGTGCACCTGTTAAAATTACCTTACTTCTTGCTTATTGACTTTCACTGGAACTGGAATCTTCATTAAAATCGGACAGGTGGAATTTGTTTCTTCAATTGGAGCTTCAGTCTGAGTGACATAACAGAATTTCTTTTTAATTGAGAAATGTACATGCTTGCCAGAATTGGCGAGCTGCCAGAGACCTCTAGGTGTTCTCTAAATTATTAATCAAACTAAAAGGCTTTGCAAATACCAAGAAAGAAGTCCTGATACTTAGTCTCAAACGGTGTGAATAGGTTGCTTGTGTTTAAATACATCAGGAGAATTATTTCCTCCTTTCATAGCACGTAATGTTTTGTCAGGGATCGTGCAGAGAAGCCAGAAGGAATGTTATTCAATCAGGGAGAGAACAGGTGTATTCTCTCTTCCTCCAAAGGAAAATTAATGTTGAGTGTAGTATCAAATTGATGTTTTAGAAATGAAGATACAAAATAATTTTTGGCAGGCTTAGGCTTTGTTCCCCCCCTGTGCCAACAGTTCATGCTGTCCTACAAAGCACAGCTCTGCAGGTTAGTGTTTTGAGCACTCTAAGGGCTGCTGGTTTCTGCTCCCTGCCTTCCCTTCCTGATGTACTGAGAACACTTGTTCTGAGCTCAGCATTATGAATCACAATTGTAAAGCTCAGTGCCACACTTCTAAGCGTTGCAGTACTGTCATAACATTGAAGTCTCTCTTATTTCATACCCTGAGAGACTGGGTTTTGTTGAAGAGGCAACAGTCCTTAGCTACAAAACTGAATGTAAAATGTAAAAGCAAAGGTGTCAGAATGGAGCACGGGCTGCCTCTAGTAGCTACAGCTTGGCCTTCATGTGCAGCAAGAACTTAAGCTATTCTGGTTACTTTCCCCTAGACCATTCCCACTGTTCTTGCCACTTTTCTGTTCACAGTGGTTCCAGAGAGAAACATGTGGACAGCTAGGAGATCCTTACTGTGTAGTTAAGGGAAAGGTACTAATAGAGTATGCATACTGCTTGTTACTAGGTTACTGTGGTTTCTTCTACCAGGGACCTGAACGTGGGAGTGATACAGAATTTTTTTTTCCTGGTTTAGGTAAAATACAGCATGTCCTCTCCATGAGCAGAAAGTAGCGTACTAAGTCCATCACACCTCGGTTTGACCAGTATGATATTTTCACTTGGAAATTAGAAGTCTGGTAGTTAGTTTCAGTTCAGAGTAATGTTCCTGGCCACCAAATCTGTCAGGGGCTTTAGGACCCAGCCACGTCAAAGACCACATCTCTATTTGTGAGCCTGCAAAACAGACTCCCTCCATTGTTTCATTACAGCTTATAAAGACCATATATCATGTGCTCTATCGCAGAGATAAACACTAGTATTTGTGTAGTATTTTGAAAATGCACATCTCTTTGAGTGGGAATGCCTAAAGCTTTCCACGTTTGCCTTGCTTCGTTTTATGAAATCTGCAGTTGTGTTTTCATGAAATACAGTTGCAGTGCTCAAGGCTGTTATAGGTGAATGTACATACTGAAAGTGTGTATTTGAAACCTTCTGTCATTCTTCTGAGTTTTAATTCTTTTTCCTAGCTTTTGCAGTTAATTGCAAAATCCCAGTTAACTTCACTGAGTGGTGCAGCACAGAAGAATTACTTTAACATTTTGGACAAAATTGTGCGGAAGGGTAAGACCTCAGATTTTGTAATCTGCTTGTTCACATTTCATTGCTGTGACTAAGCTATCAGTTGAGGGGGTTTTGTTAGCTTTATTTTAACTGTTTTTACATTGTAAGACAATGCAATAGCATATTTAATTAGTGAAAGGTTTCATACTTCCCATCCCACAGTTACAACAAGTTTTCTCTTGATTATTGAATAATGTCTGTTGAAACAGATTGGTGAAGTTAAATGACAATTAGATTCTATTCAGAAACTATTGGTTACTATTAAGTTACACTCTTTGTGACTTGTGAAAGCTTTTAGATTAGTAACGTATTTGTTTTTCAGTTTGCATCATGTACTGAGATTTAAAATGCATAACTGCTTTTCTTTATTGTTGCTTTTAAAAAAGCTATTACATAATATTGAACAAAAAAATTTCTGGTAACCACACTAAATGGAGATGTAATACTATCAGCTTTGAACAGAAGAAATCGGATTTGTAACTAGTTGTTAAGCATTAAGTTTATTAAATGCATAGCATGAAACATTGCATCAGATTTGCCTGTGAAATTGTTAATTATTGATCTTGCACTTATGAAACAGCTTTAATGACTGTTATGGTGGGAATTAGGGCAGCTATTTGTAAACAAACAGTTGAGTTGTAATTAGTTCATCTAAAAAAGTGTTGATTAGTTTGAGCTAACTGTATTAGCTTGGTTAACTCAGTTAACCAAATTTTATTTGTTTGCATTTTTTTGTTTGTTTTCCAGTCATGGAAGACCAATATAATCCACGATTAATCAAAGATCTCCTACAGGATCTGAGTTCTACTCTCTGTATACTGATTAGGGGAGTAGGAAAATCTGTGTTGGTAGGGAACATCAATATTTGGATTTGTCGATTAGAAACTATCCTTCTGTGGCAACAACAACTAAAAAACCTTCAGATGAACAAGGTATGTTATTAAGTCATGCTAAAGTAACTGGGGGAGGGAAGCTGTACTGAACATGGGTTTGTGATTTGTAAGTGAACAAAGTTCGAAATACACCTTAAACAGTTATTCTTGTTTTCTTTGTTTTTAGAGAAGAAATATGAAATTAATGAGTTGGAATCAATTTTCTAACATTTTAGTAGCTCTTTTCCAATGAGGGCTGCTGCAGTACCTGTACTGCTGATTTGTGGTAAAGATGTGTAGATGTAATTGTTTTTCTCACCCAAATAAATTTCAAAATGTTTGTCTCTGGATTGTCAGATAGAGATGGAAAAATACCAAATTTTAATTCCAAAGTGAATGTTCTACTACTGAAAAAATAAAAATCTAAAAGGAATTTTAGAGGTGGATCAAGATAACGGAAATAAAATATTCAAGTAGCAATTTTACAACTTTATTCATTAGCACAGTTGCTATTAATGGGGAAAAAAAAAAGATAATGACTTCAGCATCTGGGTTCTGATCGTGCAATTTTGTTTAAAGCATGTGGTATGCACTGTTCCAGGTTTTTATAGTGGAAACTTCTGATGATAAGCAGGCAATCTTTTTTTTAACCTGTCTGGGTTACTCCTTGAAGAAGAAATGCTGCAAGATACCGCTCACAGTGAAGTCACACAACTGTTTCATCTGTTTGCTTTCAGCTATGAAATCTTGAAATTGTCCTTGCTGTGTGTGCCGGGTATCTGAGTAAAACGGCTAATTTTGGAACAGAAAGGAGAAATGGGGAACCCAGTCTCAGCAGTTCTCACATGCCAAGCAACCACAGCACAGACAGTTTTGAGACACTGCGGTTGCTGCGTTTGTTTCTTTCCAGCGTGCTGCTTCCATCTGAGCTGTTTTATGCTGGTTGAAGTAACTGATGAGAAATCTTGCGTCTGCAATGCTCACATAGTCCTGAACATAACGATAGTCCCAGAGATGTTTATAACAGATGACACTATGGAAAGTCTAGTCTATAAGTGAGATGAATGGTTGTGAAACAAACTGACAGAAGTGAGAGCCAGCTCGAGTGCAGCTGCTGTGCTGTTAGCGCCTTGTGACGGGGCAGCTCTGCTCGGTGAGGCCGGCAGTTGCCCACGCTCCCTCCCTCCCTCCCCAGCTGGGACACCACCTCCAGCCGCACCGGGCTTTGTGCCACCTGGCAGTATCGGCTGCGGATTCCCTCACGTAGGAGTTGCGCTGTAGGTTACCACGTTAAAGAGAAAGTTCAGCGGAGGTGTATACGCTCAGTGAAAATTTTCTCAGTGCTCTGATCTGTCAGGCCCGGCAGAATTCCTCATTTATGTATGAGGGAAACTATCTCCAAACTTCAGAAATGAACCTACTCTCTTCTGTCTCTGACTTTCATAATGTTTTTCTGCTCTTCAGTCCTATATTCTGTATTCTAGTTGTGTTAAGGCAAAATGGCATGTGCTCTGTTTCTTAATAAAAATTGAGAAACTGAAGCTATTGTACAAATCATAAATAATTGGTTCGTACCTTTATTATAGTTAGGGTTTTAGCACACTTCTTGCAAAGGTGGAATTGAATACACCATAGTTTTCAAGACTGTATACTCTTGAACTATTTTCTGAGAACAGAAGTAGTTTAAAATTATTTGAAAATTAAATAAAGAATTTAGGATATGTTTATTTTAATAGTAGGAAAGCTGAAAGTTATGAAGCTACAGTCTGTAGTTCCTTCTGTACCTGTAATCATTTAAGTTTTCAACAACAGCAGTTAGAGAATATGGTAGCCAAGTAATCGAAGTATCACAGAATTATCCACAGATATTACGCAATGGTTTTGTATGAACTAAACCTAAGACCTGAGATCTTTCTAAAGTAAGAGTTTTATTTATACCTTACTCTGTCGAGTTTTTGTAGTTAAAAGTTTTCAACTCTTATTTCCAGCAAGTCAACAATGGTCTTACGCTTAGCGATCTCCCTCTCCACATGCTGAACAACATCCTATACAGGTTCTCTGATGGCTGGGACATTATTACTCTGGGTCAAGTGACCCCAACTTTGTACATGCTCAGCGAAGACAGACAGTTGTGGAAAAAACTCTGCCAGTACCATTTTGCGGAAAAGCAGGTAAGAAAGTCTGTCACTTACATAAATGTGGCCCTCTTCTTTGCAATATGGTATACTAATAATGAAGTGTGAATTCACCCTTTTTGCCGTAAAAATGTGTCAGTGTGCAGTAATAGTGAAAATGTTCTCTTTTGCAGGGGTTGGTTCATACTAAAAATGGTATTCAGCATGTCTGTGAGTTTAGGATCACTATCAGGATGTTTCCTTGCGTTATTTTAAAAAATGTTCACCGTAAGATGATTTTTTTTCTTTAAACTACACAATCCCCAACAAGTGCAGTAGAGGATACCTCTGAGGTGTTTCTAATTTTAGTAGCCAAAGCAGGACTTGTTTGACTAGCCAAGGTAGGCAGACAGATTGCTCAAACTTTTAGGCTACATGAACGGTCTGGTGAAGCTGAAATTGGATAGTTGCAAAAAAGAATAGAACACGTGCTTGAGATTTTGAAACTAAGAACAAAAAGCGAAATAGTACTGTTCTGTCACTTCCTCCTAAAAAGCATTAAAGTAATGTAGGAATGCCTCCAGAACTGTCTTCATTTTCTGACACTAAAACATGCTGGGACAAAATCAGACTAGGTGAAAATAAAGCTAGGAAAATAGAAGTTATTTCATTAGAGCTGGAGGTAGAACTTTAAAACCCTAGTATGTTCCGGACTGGAGGAAGTGAAAATACACATTCTTAAATCTGACAGGTTGAAGTGACACTACTCGGTTGGTGACTGCCAGATTAAGTAGTATTATAACAGGAAAGGTAGAAGTGAAGATCAATTAACTCACGTGCAGTTGACCCAAATGAGAATTTTGGTGAGGTGAAAGGCTTTAGAATGAACTGCATGGAGAATATAGACAAATATAAAGTGAAAAACTCCTTTAGAAGCAGCTCAGAAGAACGCAAGGTGAAGTTATGAGGAAAAGAAGTTTAAGCTTAATGTAGCAGTTGAGTGGATTTTGAGGCTAGATGAGGTAAGTGCTATTGAACAATGACAAAACTGGTCGGAGAGGAAGCTGTTGTACTAAGGTAATGCTGGGAAGAAGAGCATTTCAGTAGAATTAGGTAGCCCTGTGCCCTATAAAGGACACTTGTATGCAGTGTTTCCAATGCATTCCTAAATGTTCATGTTCAATTTCTTGTTAGGTTGTTAATGATAGAATTCTAATGATTTTATTTATTTTCCAATATCAGACTGCTTTTTCTGGCTAAAAGTGTACCTTAATAAGCTACAGGATCATGTTAGTTGTTTTTCCTGTCCTCTGCAATATTATTTATTGAATCATTGAAACAACTTCAAAAACATGCTTGATATCTGAAGAGCACTTTTGGAAAATGAGAACTCTGCACAGAGAAGCTATTACGAAACAGTGAAGTGTAGCTGAAATCAGAAAGGCAGTGCTATTTTCCCCATCTAGGAGTTGTCATCTGGATGAAGAAAGCCCTTAATGTATTGGCATTAATCCACACTGAGTGGATCAGAAGCCTTTTGCACAGCCAAGGTTTATTAAGGATGTATTTGTACTAAGCTAGGGAGAAACAGCCATTGTGCATCAGTCTTTATATGCAGATTATGTCCTCAAGAAGTACATCAATCACTGAATATTGCTCTCCTTCTAGAAAGATCCTAACTAAATGTGGAAAATAATCATGTATCTACTTTTGAAATGAAAGAAAAAGCATTATTTAAATCCGTAGTTACTGTCTTAACAGAAAACCAGTTTGTAATGCATAATCATTTTTTTAATCTCATTCCCAAGTGTTGTTTTTTTAATACAAAAGTAATTATTTACAGCTCTAAATATTGGTTTTGTTTTATGTTTCTTTACTATAATTAGAATAATTTCAAGACAATAGAGTTAATCAGCTGTGTGTGGCCTACTTTTTCTTGGCAAATATGCTCCCTTTCATTTTTAGTGTTTTACCTTCCATTTTTTGTGGCTAGATCTCATTGCTTTGCAGAGATGTATGATGTCAGATTATTTACTTCAAAGAATTTCAGTTCTTTCTGAAAAACTTCCGTTTTACTACCTTATTTTTCCCAGTCCTTTACCTGATTTGACTAGTTCTTTAACAATTTTAAAGGAGGATATTAATTTTATGTCCAGTTTTGTAGGCATTTGATTCCATCAGAGAAAGGTCACATTGACTGGAAGCTGATGTACTTTGCACTTCAGAAATACTACCCAATAAAGGAACAGTATGGGGACACCTTGCATTTCTGTCGACACTGTAGTATTCTGTTTTGGAAGGTAAGAGCTTTGAAACAGATAATCAGAAATAAGTTCAAACAGCTGCTGGTGGTCATCTGAAAGGAAAAATAGTAAGATCATCTTGTCAGCTTTCTCATGTGAAATGTGACTGGACAACTAATACCTAACTTCTAAATAATATGTAAAACTTCCATATAAAATCGGTATTAAAGGACAAATTTGGAATTTATCTAGCATTCTAATCTCTTCAGTATCTGATAACCTCAATACTTAGAATTGCAAGGAAAAGCAAGCACCATGTGGAAAGAGTTGCACTCCATCGTCTTGTGTCTATTTAATCTTATGCCAAGCTGTTAGGAACTTGCATGAAGTTAGCCATTTTGTGATGTCACTTTTCTAATGATGGCACGGCAATCAATGTCTCCAATGAGAATTTATTACTATAGTGTTCCTGCTACATTGGTGTAAAACTCTGTATTTTTATAGTCTTGCTTGTGTCCCATACAAAGCTTGCAGGAATGTTTGCAACTTCATTCAAAATGCATTTTACCTTGGTTTTGATGTTTACCATGAACTGTCTTACAGGATGATTTTAAATTTCTATAGGATGTTCTCATGTTTAGCTTGTGCGTGAACAGAGTCCTGCTTTTACTTTGTGTGGCACCACAATCTAGCCTTCTAGAATAGTAAGGCTTCTTTAATTTTGCAGCTCAAAGACCAGATATGTCTAGTGCTAAGTGGACAGCAAAGAGCAAGAAATGTTTGAGAAATCTTGGAAAACACTCATTCTGATTCACAGAAATGAGTTGCTGTTGTGTCATCTTTCTCTGATTTTTGAGTTGCATGTCAGTGTGAGGTTTTTTTCCATAGAAAAAAGTAGGCTATCTAACAGGATAAGCTAGCCTTCACAGAAGTATGTTCTTTTCAAGTTGAGTGTTCTTGATATCACAGGAGCCCTTACAGGTACTACTATGTTTTGCTAAATTAATAGTAGGAAAGCAGGTAGTCAGAATTGTGAAAAGCCTGGGCATTTGCTGAAGAACTTGTGTCAAGAATGTCTAAAATCTGTTCATTACAGTGGAATAAGTCTTCGACATGTTGCCCAATATGTAGGGTAAAGTTTTTCTCTTTGAAAGCAGACATTTTAAAGGTAAGCACACAGCGTGCACGCGGGTGGGCATTTTTGGCATCGGCTTTGTTTGGATTGTCTGGCTTTGCTGTGCAAAGGGTTAGTGCTTTCTACAGTAAATTTCTCTCATGCTGATCTTGGTATAATTGAAAGTATAGCACTGTAATATTAGGAATGACCAAAATGCGTTTGGAATTAAATGTCTAACTTCGGAGATTGTGTGCGACCGTAAGAGGCTGTGAACCTGTGCAGGCAGATGTCTTGTTACCTTGACTACTCCAATCTATTACTGGAATAAAGGCACTCATTTTGTGCTTGTGTAGCTTAGTGAAACACAGCACAGTAAGTTCTAAAGGTACTTTGGATTGATGAGCAGCACCTACTAGATCACCATTCCAGTGCTGCCTGCCTCATCCTGGAGATTTGGGCAGGTCTTCAAGGGGTGGTGTGGTTATAGATTAATTGTGTGCTTCTGCACTGGAATTCTGTAGCAGGTGTTTGGAGTCAGCTGTTTTAACAAGAGCAGGGTCAGCAGCTTGAGGACAGTGATTATCTCTTTTCACTTGGCACTCATTAGGCTGCATCTGGGATACTGCACCCAGCTGAGGGTCCCCAGTACAAAAAAAAAGATACTGATAAACTGGATGGAGTTCAGGTGAGGGCCAAATAACCAAGAAGGCTTAAGGGCTTTCCCTGTGAGGAGAGGCTGCAGAAGACAGCTTCAGAGGAACCTAAGAGTCTGCCATGAGGACAGCCAAGCAAGGGAATGGTTTGATCATAGAGGCTGTGCAGTTTCCATCCTTGGATTTTTTCAAGACGTGACTGGATAAAGCTCAGTGCAACCTGGTCTGATCTTACAGCTCACTCTGCTGTGGCCTGGAGACCCCCCGAGGTGGCCCCCAACCCAGTTGTTCTGTGAGCATGCATTGCAGTTTTACTTCTCTAGGTCTTGGAATCTAAGCCTCGTCCCTATCTTAAAACAGATGTTTGATCAGACTGAAATAGATTGTTAAACATATTGATCTCTGCACAACTGGCACCCTTATTGGCAGGGGCGCTAAGAGGTTAATCATTGCTCTGAAAAACAGTCCCTCTGTGCTGGGCAATGTCAGTGAAGTAGTGCACTTGTATCTATATGCGCTTGTATCTATACTTGTATCTTTCCCAAGCCCTCTGAAGAGAGATGGGAAGCAAAGCGCGGGGCAGTGGGACAGGAGGTACTTTTAGTCCCTTGGAAAAATTCTGTGCTAGGTGAAAATATTTCTTAATTAGAAAGAGCTTTTATCAGGCTTTTGATAATTCATTCAAGCTTCAGTATCATACTTGATGAGACAGATTATTAATTTAAATATGTATACGAGTGGTTGACTTGTAATTGTGCTTATAATGTGCAGATTTTTGTTCTCACCTGAAGCTTTTAGTCTGCTGGATTCCATTGGGCGTATAGCAAAAACCACCAAAACCAAACTTTAAAAGAGAAGTCACCGTTACTTTATGCAGGAAATGTAGCAAGTGTTTGAATCTTGAAACAAATGGGAGCACTGGATTCTTCAGATAGTTTATAATATGTACAAATTTAATTTCTTTTTAATGGTATGCTTCAAAAGTTGGCTACCTGTTGCTTTCAAGGGCATTCAGAAGAACTTGAGGCAGTGAGCTGAACACTTCCTGAACCTCTTATTTTTTTCTTCCTTGCATTCAAGAACAAAATGGAAATAACTGGAACAACATTAGAATAGTTGTGGAGGAAAAAGTACTGAAGTGATCAGGGCATGAAGATGACTAGCAGAGGCTAATTTCTTTTAATTTAGCTCCGTTGAAGTTAATATGTGGCTCCATAAATACTTCTCAGACAGGGAAGGGATGCATAAATGTGAGACTACTTAGGGAAATTACTTAAGCTAAGGGACATCCTTGATGCAAGTGAGTTGTAGAAACCAGTTGTGTTATGCTGAGAGTTAAGACTAAAAACCCAAGCAGTGGGACTCTGAAATAGCCACAAAGCACAGGCCTAGCTAGTGATGAGAAGAATTTTCATCAGTTTATGAAACTGGTAACATAGTGTAATTGCTGTGACACGAGAGGGTTATGCACAGGAAATTCTTTCAGTCCTGCATTTTGTGTCCTTTTAAAGAAGGGACTGATGGCTACTGAACTGAATTAGCAAACAGCTGAAGTAGAGAAATGACTTTTCACTTTCAGTATGCTGTAATAATCTAGTGTTACTTCTAATAAGTCTTTAAGAGCTTTTTAGGAAGCAGCATTTGTGTTTCTGTATTTGATTAAAACCTGTGACCATAGTAATCTTAAATACGGTAAGAAGGAGACTCGTAAATTCATTGTAGGAAGTACAGTGGTAGAGTAGAGGATCTTGTACTCTTCCGTGTTAAAGGAGGGAATGATTATAAGAAATGCTTCTTACTGAATGACTACCTTTCAGAAGGGATTTCTTGGCAAAGGATTTGTCCATGATGAAAGTGAGAAAAATATATCATTTCAGTAGTGTAAAAGTAATGGCAAACTAATTATGGACCGATGCCTCTGTGAATGCTTTTTGTGTATACTGTTATTTCTTCTGTTCCACTAGACAACGCTGCAATTGCGGGCCATTCTCTTATTTTCTTAGCTCACTCGGTAGCACATTTCAGTTATCCCAGAGATGGCCAAGAAGCTGAAATACCTTTTATTCTTTCAATAGCCAGGGATTTATGTAAAATTGTGTAATTGTTTTGCATAAGTGATATGCTTCACACTTGGTTTTAGTCATCTTGGGCTGGTTTGGGTTCTCCAGCTGCTTGTGATTTGCCACAAGAGTAAAAGACTATTTTTCTAAATGGAATATGAACCTTAGCGTCAATAAACCTTAACTCTGCTTCTTTTACTTTACGGCTCTCCTTCCTGCTTCCTTCACGATCTCAAAGGACTACCACCTTGCTTTGTTACTCAAGGTATTTCCTGTGTGTCCCATCTGTTGTCATTGCTGACTATTCTGTAATGTCAAAGTGAATAACGTGTTCATTTCTAATTGTTTGGTGCTCTT